AATGGTACTGGGCCATATTACAATAAACCAGATAATAGTGGGCCAAATGGTACTGGGCCATATTACAATAAACCAGATAATAGTGGGCCAAATGGTACTGGGCCATATTATAGTAAACCAGGTGATACTTGGCCTGATGATAATAGATCAAATGATACTGGGCCAGACCAACAACTGATCAATTAATCAAACTGCTGATACCATCTTTACTCTAAAATTATTTTTGTTTTGATTTGCTTAAAGAGCCCACAATCTTAAAGATCTGGCTGTTTATTTTTATTGAAACTAATTAACCCACTGACACCCATTGTTTCAAACAGGCAGCCAACTCTTTGTGTAACTGCACAGCCAAGATAGTATGTGCATTCCCCCAGTGCCAATTTTGCTCATTCAGTGTGGACCTAGTGTGGACGGAAAGAGCGTTTCCATGCCTAAGTCTAGGCTTTAAACTTTCCTTTTTGATAAAGCTTATAGTTAGTGAGGTTCAAGTTATCCTGAGCTATCTCTATAGTTCTACTTCTATAGGCTTAGACTGCTGGAAGACATGGGGACCTCTTTACTCTCTCATTTCACTTCCGCTTTCTTTGATTATTCTGCTGGCTTGTGAATTTAATATTAGCAACAACAAACCATGTGACCAGGACATGTGTCGATACAAAGATGGACGTACGGGGAGAATACCTCCTTAAAAAATAAAACCTCATTCAGATTCAGATTGTAAATAAAAATAATCATTTATTCTTTGCATACCAGTTAGGGACCACTGTGCTATGGAAAGAAAGTGAATCATGATCTATTATTGACTAGCCAGAAGACAACAAAGTGATCATTTAAGCCCTATTATCTAAGAACTCTGTGTAGATAGAGCATGGAGCTTGTTCTGGTTAACAGGAAACTTCAAGGTGAAATTTGACATACTTTTAATTCATGCACATCTCCTTGTGATGTGAGAAGATATTGAAAGAGAATTCGTGCAGAAAGTCTGTAAATGTCATCAGGTATGTGAATAACGATCACACTTGCCACCTGGAAGAGAACAGAGCAGTTAGCTGTGTCACAGGAAATCTGCTGGCATCTGAACATAATGGTGCCAAAGCCAGTTATTTCCTTAAAAGCGCTGCTTATTACATTTAATAATAACAGAATAATAAAAACAACTCACAATATTGTAAAGGTTCCTGGCCTCTGTTTCTGCCAGAGTCAGTACAGCCACGAGGGGATAGTGTTTCCTTGGCAGAGGCCCAAAATCTGTAATACTCTGGTCATGAGGGATGCAAGTGTGACATTCGTGTTCATCTCCTCTGCTGATACTGGCAGCATAAAGTCAAAGGAGTCACAGGCAGAAGCAAAGGAGAAAGCAATATCTCAGTAATCTCAGTAAGTAATATCTCAGTCAACATTCATCTAATACACAAAACAAAGTTATTGTGTCTATAGCTTTCTAGAATAAAATGGTACATTTATGTTTGATCTAATAAAGTTCAGGGATGAAAATTCTTGTTTTATATTTCGCAAAATGAATATTGGGAGTTTTTCCATTTTTGGTAGCTGTGTAAGTTTTGGTACTCTCACAGTACTTTTAGCATGGCTGCATTAATCACACTGATTGATTCAAGCTATCACATAACTTTATGATTAATCCTGATGGAAGTTTGTTTGACTGCTCTTTGTTGTTAAGGTCCAAACCATACTGCAACAAATTACATACCCATAAGTTACCTCCAACAAATGCATTTCCGTCCCTTTATCTTTTTATTTTTAAAGGATACCGGAACATTTGATGGTAGTGGAAGTGTAGGTGCAGGGCCTCAAGGAAGTGTTGTGGACAGGTGAGCTTCAGGTTTTGTTGATGGTTATGTAGAGCCCGCTGTAGAGCACTGACTTCACAGCCCCAGAAACAGCTAAGAACACATGGCCCCAGACAGCCCAGTTTCAGTGACACACCATCTACAAAGGATTGCATGCTGAAGTTAATGCTACAAAGGACATTGGATAAATGGATGTTCTATACAAGGAGAGGAAGCAACTGAAGGATTAATGCAAGTCTGATTTTTATTAAACGTTATGCTGGTGTTGCATCTCAGTGATCTAGATTAGGATTCTAGGAACAAACATTTAAGATGTTTAACAGCCTGATTTATAACCTTTTTACAACACAGACAACCCCTCTTAAAAGTGGTGTGTAATAATTAGAGTTAGAATCAACTTTATTTATCCCTTGGGATAGAACCAGGAAAGTTCTGGTTCCAGTAGCTTGTATAGAATACAAAGGGTTAAACCAAGGTGCCATTAAAGATAAACAATACGACAAACAATATAAAAAGAGTGTATATAGTACGGTACAAAAAAAACATACAAAAAGAAAAAAGTTGTAATGTCCTGGAATATGTTTCCCTTAGATATACAAATATTTGCACAGTAGAGAGCTAAGGGAAGATTACACAGTAGCTGACTTGGGTTATTGCACTTGTACTGCAGAGATGTACTAACCTTATAAATAAGTAAAATATTAAACAGGTGACACAGTAGTTGGCATGTGTTATTGTACATTGAGAGAGAAGAATATTGCACATGAGTGACAATAGGTAATGATTTGCATAAGATGTCCAGGGAAGGAGGGTGCTTCATATCACCTCCTCCTTCCCCCAAGTTGTACAGCTTGATAGCTGGGGAACAAAGGAGCTCAGCAGTCTGTTGGTCCTGCATTTGGGGAGGAGCAATCTCCCACTGATCAGGCTCCTCTGAGTGGTGAAGACTGTGCAGAGGGTGGCTGGCATTGTTCATAATGTCCAGCAGTTTAAGTGTCCTTGTCTCTACTACCATCTCCAGAGGGTCCAGCTACTTGCCAATCACACAAATGGCTGGCCTCACCAGTTTGTCCAGTCTGGAGGTGTCCTTCATGGATCTGCTACTCTCCCAGCACACCAGGGTGAAGAAGAGGACACTGGCAACCACAGACTGGTAGAACATCTCCAGCAGCTTATTACAGATTCTGAACAACCTCAGTCTCCACAGAAAATACATCCTACTCTCTCTCTTCCTGTGCAGGTGGTTGGTGTTTGTTTTCCAGTCCAGTTTATTATCCAGCCACACCCCCCTATATTTGTATGAATCCACAGCCTCCACCTCAGCCCCCTCCAGTAGTAGCGGCTTATTCTTTGGTCCATTCCTCCCAAAGTCTATGACCAGTTCCTCCATCTTAGAGATGTTGAGCTCCAGATGGTTGGTGCGGCACCAGGTGGCCAAGTCCCCCATCAGACTCCTGTCCTATTCCTCCCTGTTACACCCCCACAATGGCTGTGTAATCTGCATACTTCTGTATGGGACACAGCTCAGAGATGTAACAGAAGTCTGAGGTGTATAAGGTGAGGAGGACAGGGGCCAATACTGTGCCGTCGGGGGCTGCTGACCAGTGTTTCAGAGATGGTGTCTTTCAGCCTGACATACTGTTGCCTGTCTGTGAGATAGCTGGGGATCCAGGCCACCAGACAGGGGTCGGCTCCCATGCTATTCAGTTTGTCTCTGAGCAGGGAGGGCTGGATGCTGCACTTGAGAAGTCCAGGAAGAGAATCCTAGCTGTGGCACTTCCCTTATCCAGGTGGGAGTGGACTCCCACTAGGTAGAGGATGGCATCCTCCACTCTACACCTGGCTGATATGCAAACAGCCGGCGGTCCAGGGCGTGTGGTACTTAAGGTCTGGGGAAATTGAGGAAGATTGGCTTCATCATCTTCATCAGATGTGAAGTGAGTGCCACAGGCTGGAAACCATTCAGCTCACTGGGCTGGGATTTTTTTGGGAACCGGTGTGATACAGGATGTCTTCCATAGGCTAGGCACTCTCCTTAGCTGCAGGCTAAGGTTGAAGACCTGGTGTAGTAGTTCCACCAGCTCCTCGAACCGGTATCAGAGCCCCACGCAGTGACTGGTCTGCTACTACTGACCGCACTGTGGGACAGGCGCTCTGTAGGGACAAACAGCTCAACAATGCGGAATCTTCTATGAAGCTCAAGAAACACTTATATGAACAATTACAAATTCATTATAAACAATTACATTTCTTAATGTCCATTCATCCATGGTGTGTAAATTTTGTCTAGTCCTAGTCTCGTTGACGAAAATCATTTTTTATTTTCGTAATACTTTTATTTTGTGGAAATAATTGTTATTGCAGTCCTTCCACATTTGTTGCGTTAAGTCCTCAGCCATGGCTTCACAGCGCTGTGTAACTGTACTCCTTGGCAGCTGGAGAGCTTTGATGGAAGACAAGATTTCTGCTTTATTTTTAAAGTCCCGGAACAATGAGTCCCGGTTCTATTCTGACTAGACCTGCTTCTGATCCATGAACTATTCTGAGCAGGACCCCCGCTGAGCCGAGCTAAGCTGCAACCCTGATGTCGCTCTTGTGACACGAGTCTGTGGTCCTGTTTACTGGCCTGACAGTGAGTTTCCTGAGTGGCCGAAGTGAGCATAAGATCCAGGGCCCTGCTGGAGTCAAACCTTCACCAGTACCACTGCGTTCAAAGGAACCAGACCACAGTCCACCTTCCCCCACCGTGACACGAATTAAGAATCTTCCTAATTTACCCTTAACGGGTCATTTTGTCTGGGCGAAGAGAATTAGTTTTTAGAGGCTTAATTCTTTATTTCAGATCAGGGAACTTTTTCAGGCCCTTAAAAGTCTCAGTATTCAGTCAAGATGTAGGAGTTTGTAGGAGAGCTGCTGTCAGTTGTATAGAGTTTGGATAGATTCTAAGACTAGATTGGTTGGAAAAACAACCAATCTAGTTGGTTAAAACTAGTTTGGTTAGATTAAACAATGTAATGATCAGAATTTGAGGAAGCCGCTGGTAACAGTTGCGACATTGGTATTAATTATAACTGCTTTCTAATATGCAGTTACTATTGCTAGTGGCCTTAGCTGTAAGACATTATCATCCATTCCTAAGGTTGTTAGTTCGAGACCCACCTTAAACTTTTGAAAGCTGTGATAATTCTCAAAAAAAAAAACAAGCATTTTGGCCAATGTGTATTGATTTGTTTATTTACTAAAATAAATTGGGTAAAAACTGCTAAATTTGATTGGCTGGTTAAAACAAACGACTGGTTAAACAAATAACTTCCAACCCCACAGTTTCATTGCCCAATTTGCACAAACACTTTCACAGTCTTCTTGAGCTTATTTCACTAAAAACAGTGAACCTTACATGATTTTTCTCTTCTAATACATTTTACACAAAAAAACAAAAAAGATTTTATCATACATACAT